TACTAGTAGTTCTACCGTCTCTTATTCTTGTACATTTTCCAAGTAGTATAAATAGTAAAACTAAGTTTTCGTGCTTCGATCATATCTGTAAAAAAGAAAGTGGAAAGTGATCTGTACTTAACCAATTTACAGTTGCCAAATACTTTGTTGTTCTTTCAGTCCATATTTTACCACAATAAAAATATTCACTAGAAATTATTGGCACATTTCAGAGGATGCGATATTTTATAGTCCGGCGATGCAGACGAAGACCAGAGGGAAATAATAATAATCTCAGGGTATAGCAATGTACGCGTCTATTGATTTCGAATCCAGAAAGATATTAACAATTTTACGAGAATTTATCGTTTTTAATAGCCGTATAAGATATTTTATCGACTGTATATTTCCTTTCCGCCAACTATTAAAATCTTTAAAGCATCACAATGAGGGATGCATTTAGGAGTTCGATAATTGTAAACAGCAAACAATATGGTTGAAAATATTATAAATCAGCCACTTTGTTACAATCCTGGAAGCGTTTGTTTTCACTTTGGTTATCTTTTTATTACATTTTAAATCTCGCTGGTGTGTGCATTGCCGATAGTTTAGCAGCTTATCGACAAATGGATGAAACTCGATGATTTTTTAAGGGGAGTCCTATCATTCACTTTACGAAGAATAACTCGGCATCAAAAGAAATATATCTTCATCAGAAGTTGCAAGGAATTACCTTTGAAACCTGCATTGCCTGATAAAGCGCCACCTGCAAGCAGAATGAGACGAGCGCATCTGCAAACTGCGAAATATATGAGATAATCACACGATAAATCTTATTTATTTTTCAAAATTAAATGATCCCAATAGATTTGTTCCAGCAAATTTTTCAATGATTACGCTTTTCTTAACAGAATCAATCAAGGAAAAGAAATTTTGTGAATGAAATGGTTAAGTATTGAAAGATGAGCGTTTTATTGTTGTAAGCATCCGACTTTATTGCATTGACTGATGCATGCCAATAACATGTTATATTTTTTCATGATTTTGAGAATTTACATTCAAAATATTCTTATGATTGACAACTCATGTTTTATTTAGTTACAAAAGGAAAAGGAAAGAAAATAGACATGGAACATTGCTGGCAAGTTTACAGACATATCATATGATTAAACAGTGGGAAGAACATATTATAGTTTTTGGTAAGAATCCTTAGTGAGCCTTGCTTGGAAAAACCATAACAATAAATATTCAACATATATATATATATATATATATATATATATATATATATATATATATATATATATATATATATATATATATATATATATATATATATATATATATATATATATATATAAAATAATAATAATAATAATAAAATTGCAAGTGGAGTTTTTAATTAATGCATTTCTTGATATCATAGCTTTTCAACAGTTACATGTATGAATATTACCAATGAAAACAGAAACCAAAGGATACAAATTAAATGTATGCCACAATTTATTGCCTCCTTCAAAATTGGTAACCATGTTTAGCTATTTACATGTTCTTTAATACTCTGTTAAGAATACTGTTGCGAGTTGAGATCATCTGTACTTAAGAATTCAATGATTTAAACTTTTGTTTCATAGATAAAAAAATTAGGATTTTCTCTTTGTTTAGTAACAAAATTCAAACTCTTTTACAATGTAGTTTAAAATGAAATAAAGTACTGTACTCAAAATTCTTCAAAAACTATTTCTCGATGCGAGTAAGTGTAAATGACACCGACTTTAAGGCTTTCAAAAAAGATATTTCTAATTCACAGAAACTTTTACATCGAAGAAAAGAAGTAATTGATATATTTACATGCATTAAGGTAGTCTGATCCTCATGTTCTTAAAATCAGCATTGGAGTAATCGAAATTACTAATAAAAATTCTCTGAATTCATAAAGAAATGTGTATTTACCCATGGTATTTCTTCAAAGTTCATCATTATAGTTAATCATATTATATCGGGAAAATTGCCAAATCTCAAATATATTTTCAGGAAAGGCGAATAATAGCACCAGCTTTGTATTTTCTAATTGAAATTTGATTAACAAATATATTTTAGGACAAAAAACGATAGGTATCCAGGCCTTCGGAGAAAGTTGCTTTTTATACTTTTATTTTTAAAATATTACAGTTTTTTAGATCTTCTATTTTCTTAAATTATTATATAATACACAGTGTAAAATGCTTGTGCAAGAAATCACAGATCACTTCTAATTTTATATCATGCAAATATACACTGGTATTTTAGGTAAGTTTTAAAGAAATACAATTTCTGTCATAAAAAAAATTTGATATCAACTAAACAGCAGACTTAATAAAAGCGTAAAAAGTTTCTTGATGATGTATGCTATATCTTTAGTATTTTTTTTTTTAAATTTTGCTACTATATAATAATTCTCGCATATTCAGGCAATTAGATTGCTAGAGATCCCATGTCTTATTCTTCGTTTAAAAAAAATGCTATGTACAAATTACACTCGTCAAGTTTTACTATAAAAGAGAAAATACTTTCAAGGTTATGTTTGATGTAGCTTGTTAAGGAAATCATTTCGTACTATCATCACTTCTAAGACAGTAAGAAGCTAGACTGCATAGAAAGTATACATAAATGCAAAAATAATTTGTTTTCCTTTGTAACACGATTTATATACGCATAATGTTGTCATGTTTTGCCTCGTACGTATAGGCCTAAAAGATTGTTTCTCAAGTGTTACAATATATTAATTAACGTTTACAAAAAAAAAATGTTTACGATTTTCTTAATACAATTGTATTGTGTATATATACATAATACAAGTGTATTAAGAAAATTGTTAACAAATTTTGTGGCCTCTGGGTTTGGAGAGTGGAACCACAATAGGGTAATATTTCACATGGGAATATTCACCACATTGGTAAGTCTAAGTAAGAAAGATAACTCAGTTTCATTATGTATAATGAAAAAATATCTGAGGAAAGAAGATAAATAATTTCGAAAAATTTTCATAATTTTTTGGCTCAATTTTAATGAATTGTGTACCGGGAAATAAAACAAATAAAGCAAAGATTAGTTTTTAATTGGTCTTTGTGTTAATGATCTATTGAACTTGATAGTTTGCTAACTTTTTCAGAGGGGGTCACTTATGAACTGTTAAAGTCATTCCCTGCACTATATCAATGGTAAAACAGTATTCCACAAACTTATCCTTTTCTGGATACATTTTACAAGAATTTATAATTATAGTTTTTGAGAAGGATATTTTACACAGAAAAGTTTATCCGGATGGTAAAGTAACGTAAACAAATACACCATGACGAGATAGATGTTATGTATATGTGTCCTTTCTGACATATTTCATTTTGTCCAAAAAATCTGTCATATGTACAAACTTTGCATATAAGAAATATCAAAATTTTTGTAAAGGACATATGGATGACTGCGAGTTTTCTAATTACATTTAATTTGGTAAGAAATGAATGCTTACATGTATCTGTAGAATGGTATTTGCTTTCTGCATATAATGTACGGTTATAATGAACCTCGTACGTGTATGCAAGAAAATGAAATTATTGCAGTCGGACTTTATTATCCTTTTTCTCATTTTCTATGCTTAGATGTACATGTACCCGTAGTATTGTTTGGCTTTCTGCAATACGTTTAAAAATAACGTTACAATTATAAATCGTTCTTTTACAAGCCTTCGATCAAAGTTTCTGATTGACAAAATCTACGTAGTTTTTGGAGACCATGGGTACCAATTGCCCCGTTATTACCACACCTAGTTTTGTATTCATATGAAGCAGAATATATTCAAAATCTTGCACATGAGAAGAAGGAAACACTTGCTGTTGCCTTCAACTCGACATTTAGATATATCAACGACGTATTAACAATAGTTACTTCCATTCATATGTCGACTCGATAAATCCCAGTGAACTTGAAATGAAAGATACAACAGTGTCTGACACATCTGTTTCATATTTAGATATTTTACTAGAAAATGATTTAATGGTAACCTAAACAACCAAGCTTTATGATAAACGTGATGACTTCAACTTTTCAATCGTCGTTTTCCCTTACTTATGAAGCAATATACCCTTATCACCTGTATATGGGGTTTATGTCTCTCAGTTAATTCGATACGCAAGAGCATGCTCTACGTACGAACAATTTCTAAAACAACTTGAGGCAAGCTATTTAGAAAGAAGTTGATGAAACAAGAATATTCTCGTTTAAAGTCACCATTTCGCAAATTCTATGGTCGATACAATGACCTCAGCAAATACTTTTCATTAAGTTAAATGCTGACAGACGTTTTTCATACTAATTGTTCGACTATTATTTACACACCGAATTATCTACGGATTTTTCCGTTTTTCCCAATCATGACAAGGAGCACACGGCGGGTGTGACCTGTCGGCAGGGGTTGCTCTCTCCTCCATAGCACCTGATCCCATCTCTGATGTTTTAGAGGTCCGTGTTTGCTCTGCTCCCGATTTGTATTGTTTGAATGGACTTTGAGCTTGAATACTGTTCCTTATCGATCTCCATATTTCATCGATTTTTCATTTTTCCGAAGAAAAATATAGATATTGTGCCAATGGTTTTTTTTTAAGTTGAAAAACGTACTTACATACAAATATTGAATTTCTAGCATTTGTTAATTTGCAACAATTGCAGGATTTTGTGCTCTTCATGTATGTTCTGTTTGCATAAAATATACATCGACCTTTTTGACATGCATTGTTAAATTCATTCCGTAAATTTTAACAGGTGATGGTCGGGTTTGAATACAGTTCCAATGGCCAGTGTTAATCATTGGTTGATAAAGTGATAAAGTGTCTGAGTAAGAAAGACAACTCAGAATCAAATTGGAAACAATATTGATTATAGTAAGAAAACAAAATACAACAGAATTAATCTTTTTTTTTTTTTTTTTTTTTTTTTTTTTTTTTTTTTTTTTTGGCAGGTAACAAAAACGAATAGAAGGTAATTAAGTTACTAATAATGATCATAATTAGCCAGTCCTTGCTTTTAATGGTTCAACACCAAGTTGCTTAGCGATTTCATTCTGAAACGAAAGATTATGAATAAAATATTATTACCCTTGATATATTGACAGCCTTTGTGAGGAATGTCTGGTTTTTGCATTTTTTTTATAGTATAACAATATTACAAAGAAACAATGTCTATCACTACATGTAGCTCAAACTGTAACCTCACTGTTACTGATCGTATTACAATATATTGCATCCTCTGACGTGCGGCTATATTACTTACATAGATCTCACTTGTCTTTAAGCGCAAATTTTCAATTTTTTCAAACAAATTTTATTTAAGAAAAAAAAATAATAAAATGTAAAATATGTTTTATGACTAGTGTATGTATATTGGCGCAGATATAGAAAAAGAAAACTTTATGATAACGAATAAAAATATCTCGGTTTTTTTGTTGGTTTTTTTTTTCTGTTTTTTTTTATCGTACATTCTTTTTAAGAGATGAGTATATTGAAGAAAATAGATAGGTGTATGACTTTAATGCTATCAACACAGCATAAATCCCTACTCTAAATTAACTATGACCACTGAAAAATACATGCAAATACATGTATGAATTTAGTTGAATTGCATATCTAAAAAAAAAAAATCTAAATTGTCTGACATAAGAAAATTAAAGTATAATTACTTTAAAAACATAATTCATTTTATATAGTCCTGGAGTAGAGAAAATAAATTTTCCAAAAGATATTTTATCAGTGGAGTTAATTACCGCATTAGTGAATGATTCCCGTGTGTATGGGATTCCGCCGAGTTCCTTACAGCGCTGGGAGTGTTGTCTCTCCGGGTCTCCAGGAATCAGGACTGGGCAGTCAGGATCAAGCTGTAAGTAACCATTGATAGTAAGTTAAATTTTTCTCTTCAGATGAATATTTTTGACAACCTTACTCGTTTTCGGGACACGTTTTATCCCCATTTGGTTTTGAAATTAAATTTTAGTCTACATTTTATAAGCTTGTACAAGACCTGACCCTATGATCATGATACAGACTTAGTGATGTAATCAATATTCTGAAAGATGCTCATTAACACAGGTGTAAACTGAAATTTGATTTAATTTGCATTCCTTTGCATTTGATATTAAAACACTCTGGCCATAATTTTTTCTTTTATTTCTGAGTGTCTGACCACTATTTCAGTACAATATGCAAAATTTGATGTTTTTTCGTGTTTCATGATCACGGAGAAAGGTATTGCAGTTACGTGTTTGTATTATTTGATCAAAGAAGGTCAGCAAAAGAACTTACAGGTTCTACACTCCTACATTGGTCAATCAGCTGAGTCATTCTGTCTGTGAAACCATCAGCAAAACTGCATGGATCAATGGCTATAAAGCATTGTCCCTTCAAGAAGAAGGAATAGTAGTTCTATCTATATGGTTTTTTTTATGTGATATGACGGTCAAAATACAAATATAGTGTATACAAAATAATTTTACAAATTCCTGACCTAACAACGTAGAAATCAAAGTTCAAAAAATGCCACAAATATCATTTAATCAGTGCAGACCCATATGTATAGTGAATAATATATCACATTATATTTTTAAGTGCATATTTGCAGTAGGACTCACATAATTAACTGCACCCTCTCCTTTCTTCCAGTTTCCAGTGTTGAGACCAAATGCTGAACCACTTAATATACCACACAATACTTCAACCATCATAGATAGACCATAGCCTTTGTAACCACCTTCAATGGAATCAACAAAAAATTGAGGAAACAAAAAATGATTACAATGGACCGTAATGGATTATACTATGGATGTCAAATTGTTTTGAATTGGATGAGGTGTACAAAATTCCTTTAATCCACATGTATTTCTTATATTTACCACTTTCTTCAGCTCCACCTAGCGGTAACAAGCCCTGGAATGCCTTCGGGTCCCTAGTTTCCTAATGTATAATGCAAATTTTAATATTAGGCATGATTTGATGATTCATATGTATTCATAAGCAGTATGCATTTTGAAATCAAGAGTTTTGGTTATAATAGCGTCGTGTCAAAAAGACTTACCTTTCCGTCTTTGTCTATTGCCCAGCCACTCGGTAATGGCTGCCCTAATTTTCCTTTAAGTTCAACCTGTAGTTCACATTTTTAAAAAAAAAAAGTCACATAGTGTGAACTATAATGCAATACTGCGTTATTTCTAAAGCATTTTCATTAAGTTTACATTTTAACAAAAGCTTCTCCAATGTTGAAATTCACCTTCCCCAGTGCAGTAGCTGTTGTTGCCATATCTAAAACAAAGTTATCTCCATTGTTTGCTGGGGCACCGAGTGATATCGGATTCGTACCTACAACCATCTGAAAAAAAATATGATACATCAAAGTCTGAACATAACAATGCATTTATTGACACAAAGGGGGACTAAAAAGATCTTTTATTTTTCTCAGATCTTGGAATAATAATACTCAAAATTAAGTTTAGTTTTGCCTTGTGGATCGTCCTTTTTCTTTTTCAAGATTGCCAGAAATCAGGTGTAATGTATAAAATTTTTATCAAAGAAAAAAAAAACATTTTGCCCCCGATTCATTATCGCTAAAGTACCTCTTTTGACCTTGTTGAGACCAGCATTGGATATGTGTTTGTGAAAGCCATGCCCTGTGCAAAGAAAAAAAAAAGAAAAAAAAAAGAAATGGAAATAAGTTCTGTCTTTTTGTGCCATAAAAAAGCATAAATTTCAAATAAAAAGAGTTTTAGCTTTGATTCATGCTAGCATTGCTGTGTTGTAACACTCACTATCATCCCTTGTTCGATTGCTTGAAGTCCATACCATCCAGCGATACCAAAATGAGACGATCCTGCACACAAAAAGATTATCCAGTATTCCATATAGAGATGAACTTGTACAAATAAACCAAATATTGTAGAATCAGACTGATAGAATTTTAGAAGGTCATGTGTCCCTTCATTGACACTGAAGTTGGTGAGTATTTTTTGTCAAAAAAATTCTTTTCTTCCCTACCTCTAACACTAACCATTCCAATTCCTGACCGTTTCGCTTTTTTCATTGCTAATTCCAATGCAAACTTCCCAATGGCTGGCCCTAGATATATAATGTTAATGATGGACCATAAGTAATTTTTAAGTATCACACTAAAAGTTCGATTCTGTTTGAACTTCTCTTACCAAGAATGTTGTTGCCGTCTACAAGAGCCGTGGAGACATTTTCTTTGACAATGGTAGGTTCCACACCCTGACCATCAGATATCGCTTTATTTCGTAGGCATTTCACGTATAAACCTGAAATTCGGAGAAAAACTGACTGAATATACATGGATGTTCATGATACTATGAATTGCAAGTAAATTCATTAGCAAGCATTCCCAAGGACCACAATGCACATATAAGAAAATTTCTTTTCTTACAAATAGATTTGTAGGAAAATGAAAGACTTATTGGGGAATATGTACTTTTCTTAAAACTCTATGGTTTCCACAAAGTTGATGTATAGCTCTCTGGTTTTGGATATTAATTACGTGTACGTGTAATTGTTGTCTTTCACTCAAAGAAAATCCATTCATTTTAATATGTTAAATTTTGTACCCGTTATGGACCTATGGCCACTATGCCTATGGGGTTTATGACTCTTCACGAAAGGAGGATTCTTACAATTAAGATACATGCAAGAAAAAGACCTTTTCCCTTAATATAAGATTTTCAAAGAATCCCCATAATGCTTGAAATTCAAAAAATAAATAAATAAAATTCAAGTATATGGTTGTGATCTCAACTTTGTTTTATGGCCAAAAAGACCAGTTCAAATAAGTAAAGTTTTCTGACTACATGTAAGACCCAATCCAGTTAAGAGACAGCCGACACATAAAACATCTTCGATCAGAAACGTTCACTTCTATAGAACGAATAAATGTGACTTGACAATTTATTTTGCTATGCACTTTTTGTCCCCCGCTTTCACTGAAAATGCTTGTCCCCCGCTTTCACTGAAGGTGGGGGATTTTAATTTGGGTCTGTCTGTCTTTCCGTCCGTCCGTCCGTCCGTCCGTCTGTATATATTTCTGTCTGTCTGTAACACTTTCGTTTCCGCGCAATATCTCGAGAACCCTTTGAGCTTTCGCAATGGAATTTTGCATGGCGACTCCCTATGACCTAAAGAAGAACCCTATTGATTTTGAAGTCAAAAGGTCAAGGTCATAAATTCATAAATTCTGTCTGTTTTAACACTTCCGTTTCCGCGCGATATCTCGAGAATCCTTTGAGCTTTTGCAATGAAATTTTACATAACAAGCCCCTGTGGCCTAAGGAAGAACCCTATTGATTTTGAGGTCAAAAGGTTAAAGTTCAAGGTCGTAAATTCATACATTCCGTCTTTGTGTAACACTTTCGTTTCCGGGCGATATATCAAGAACCTTTTGAGCTTTTGCAATGAAATTTTATACCATAACTCCCTAAGGCCTGCCTCGCCCCCCTCAAAGTGTCCCACCCCGTTTTTTTTTTTTTTTGTTTTTTTTTATTATTTATTGTATTAAAAGTCGCCTGGCACTATTTTAGCACAGTGGCATGTGGAGAGTTATTACGTATAATACAGGTTGTCGGCGGACTTTATATTCTTATTACATCTATTAGAACTGTTTAGTAAAAGCTAAATTAGACACCATGTATTGTGTAAAATATTGACAATATCGAACTTGAATATAAACATTATATGTGACCTAATGTTTACATTTAATTAACGACTCAATCAAGTGCCTCCGTGGTCTAGGGGTATGTCTCTCGCTTGGCATGTGAGAGGTGCCGGGTTCAAATCCCTGACGATCCTTTTTTTTTTTAATTTTTTTTTATTAACTAAATGATAGTATTCAGCATGTGAAATGAAAAAAGTTATGACGTCTGGCTTGTAGAAACTCGTAAAATGATTATTACAGTCTGATATATATTCTATACAAAAGGAATCTTCTATCCACATATTAAAGAATAAGCAATCAAAACTTTATGTCCATATTGGCATTTTTTATTTGCTTCAGTGTACACGTATACATTTAATAAATCTACAAATCCAGGGGGGGGGGGGGGTCCGACCCCCCCCCCCGAACTGCGCATGCTCTTCTTATTTCCCTAAGCGGGGGACACAAAGAAGAAGGTACGGTTTTAACTTTATTGTGCCCTAAAAATTTAATGTTTTCAAAAAAGTTTTGAAACTGGCTTAAGAATTAGTTGAGTATATGACTGCAATAAATCAGGAAAGAATATGGAATGAAGGAGTACCATTCTCGAAAAATGACGTAATTAATTTGATGCGTTTCTCTATTTAAAACAGAAAAAGTCTCAAAATGCCCCATTTCAAGGGTTATTTTCCTTAAGAAAATATTGTCCACAGCCGTCGCCCACTTTGATTTTCGGATATGTTGTGTAAAATTCTTTGAAAAATCACATATCTCAAAATCTTTGTGGGCGATGCCTGTGGACAATATTATCTGAAAGAAAATTCCATTGAAAATGAGTGACTTCTGCATCTTTTTAAGAAAATACGGGAAAATGCACAACTTTATGACGTCACAATTAGCATTAAGAAGGTCATGTGAGAAAAATGATTTGTATGATCTTTCTACATGGAATTTCAATGATTCAGAAAAAAGGAGTTTTAATTTTTTACATCACTTTTATTTTTAAGAAAAACACAGAGCAAGATTTGTATTGAAACCGTACCTTGTTCTTCTCTGAATTAGCTTGTCATTGTAGAGTGATGCTACTATTTGTTGCTTTGAATGCAAATTACCTGACGTTCTAATAAAATTATGAAACAATTCTGTATGATTTCTATTCCAATTTTTTTATTAGAATTCATGTCCTGTATGTCAGACTAGATCAAATTAATTTCTTAATCAACTGTAAATTTCTTACCGATTCTGCTGAGCCCATGACTGTAGATACCCCTTGTGTCTGCGCATGTCAGCGCATCCGCTAATGCTCGTGCGTGATTTATGTTTGTTCCAATGGCTTCCAAGCAACGAATTATGAAATCGTGAACGTCTTTTTCAGGAACGACATATTTTTCTGCTGTAGCCATTCTGTAAAAAGTTCGATTATGCAGATCTGTATTTAATTTATTTTAAATCAGTGCACATAAGCTTTTGAACCATACTGAATAATTCCTCACGTATATTTCTAAAAGTTTATATTCTAATGTAGACAAAATTGACTCAATTGGAGAAGTGGATTATTCATCGTGACTGCATAAATTAAAAACATTGTCTTATGGAACACACGGACCACCATCTGTAATGATATGGGTCAGAAACAGGACACATGATAAACAGCTAGTAAGGTCACTTCATAAGTAAAAAAAAATATGAGTCGATAAGTGTGTTAAAAAGAACCTAAATACAAATTCAAGTGAACACCGATATATCTCATGTGGTTATTTCAAATAATTTCAAATTTCAAATTGTTTTTCTGGGGGTAAGTGAACGTTAAGAACTTACCTATCTTTGTTGTGATAGTGCATACAGAGTAAAGTGTCTCTCGAGGTTAAATTTTTCCGTTGAGAGGAATGATTATGACCATACATATACATACTATGTATACAAGTACAGATGGTTTTCATGCCGTATTTTATTGAAAATAGCTACTTTTATCATGATATACTAGTAGATAATTTGCATTTCATTTTGATTCATTCTTCTTTATAGTGTGTGCAAATTATGAAAACTGACAATTACAATTTAAGACGAACATGTATGTGAAGTTACCTATGAAAACCAGGAAGTCGGGATTCTTTATACGCCATGACCCCCCCCCCCCCCTTTTTTTTTTATCGCGAAACGAAATGATCTTCAAATCAGTATAAACCATTCCAAATGTCCTAAGAAGAAAACGAATTCTTACACACAGCACAGGGGCTAATTTCTGTTGTTTTTTTTTTTTCTGGACCTTAAACCCCGGAACTGAGATTTTAGATTTTTCTCTTATTTTCTTTCATACACCAACTTTTAAAAAGTCTCTTACATTTGGAAAACCATTTCTATGCGAAAAAGGGACAGTTCACACGTAAATTTTTTATTTATTAAACTTGCCAATTCTTTCCAGGTTCTCAATCGAATCACACAGGGACCCTTGATAGTTTTTAGCTCACCTGATCACCAGTTGACCGTCCGTCCGTCCGTCTGTAAACTTTACACATTTTCAACTTCTTCTCAAGAACCACTGGGCCAATTTTAACCAAACTTGGTACAAAGTATCCTTGGGTGAAGGGGAGCTTAATTTGTCAAAATAAAGGGCAAAGTCCCCTTACAAGAGGAGATAATCATGAAAATACAAAAATAGGGTGGAGTCCTTTAAAAAATCTTCTTCTCAAGAACCACTGGGCCAAAAAAGCTGAAACTTAAGTGGAAGCATCCTGGGATAGAGAAGATTTTAAATTGTTAAAATCATGACCCCCGGGGGTAGGGCGGGGCCACAATAGGGAATCCAAGTTTTACATTGAAATATATTGGAAAAATCTTTAAAAATTTTCTTCTCAAGAACCACTAGGCCAGAAAAGCTGAAACTTATGTGGAAGCATCCTGGGGTAGTGTAGATGCTAAATTGTTAAAATCATGACCCCCGGGGGTAGGGCGGGGCCACAATAGGGAATCTAAGTTTTACATTGATATATATAAGAAAAATCTTTAAAAATCTTCTTCTCAAGAACAACTGGGCCAGAAAAACTGAAACTTATGTGGAAGCATCCTGGGATATTGTAGATTTTAAATTGTTAAAATCATGACCCTCGGGGGTAGGGCGGGGCCACAATAAGTATTACAAGGGGGAAATCTGGTAAAGAACAGCATGGCCAAAGTTACTCAGGTGAGCGATGTGGCCCATGGGCCTCTTGTTTGAAACACGTACTATGAATCTGTTTCACAGACTGATGAAAGTATTAACATTAGAACATTTGCCCTTTCAATGTACATCTACATGACTATATGGTTACAAAAAAAAGAGAATTGGTGAAAACTTCTTTTATTATAAAGGTATATGAGCATTAAGAATACATTTTTAGAAAGTAATCATAAAAAATAAAAGATATTTGTATAATTAGCATACATGTCAATGGTGGATTTGGTCTTTGGTCACCATGGGCTTTACATTGAGTCTTTTGGCTAAATCACTCTGAAAAATACAGATAGGCCGAAATGATTTGAAGACACCAACAGATTCATTACAAATATGATCGACGTGTTTAAAGGTTCATATTAATAAGAAAAAAATGCATTGTTTTAACTTTCCAGTCATATACATGTATCAACTAGATGTAATCAATCATATCCTCCCGATAATGCATTTGTTCAAAATCACATATACGTGGAAACGGTGATAGTCAATACGCTTAAATTTTACAAAATTCTGAACATATCTTTCATAAGCTCATTGTTTGAATGACACAGAAAAATAAAAACATTTAACAATGTATAAATACAAATCCCCGAACCTACCGCATAGGTTATTTGATTCTGATGATATGGTATTCCTCCATGTTGTTTACAAAGGTCAATATGAAATCTTTCAGGGTCACCAGCCACCATTACCGGAAGTCCACTTTCTGCCTAAAAATGAAAAGAAAATAATGTAAAATATATTCTTGATATTAAAGACTATTCATTTTTCAATAGTTCTTAAATGTTTTTATTAGAATACATACAAAGGAATCAATAAAATTGAGAATAAACCTTACATACTTAAAAAAAACTATTTTAACCAAAAAAAAAAAATTATGGTATTAAATGTCTTACCGGTTCAAGATGTCTGCAATATTCCATTAATTCGCTCATTCTTTCGGTGAATCCCTCGGCAAATGCACTAGGATTAATTGCAATAAAGCACTGACCCTTTAAATTTAGATGGAAATATTAAGAAAGCTGTACCACAAGTTCTAATTATAAAATATTATAGAATTTTCAGAAATCTGAATTTTCTTCTCACTGTTCATTTAAATCCTTTAACTTGAGCATTGCAAAAATATCGAATGTCTTACAAGGTTTGCAACTTTCTCAAAATCTTTCCATGTACGAAGATTGGGTCCGAAATTTGCTCCACTTAGAATTCCGCACAATACCTCCACCATCATGGCCAATCCATAGCCCTTATAACCACCTAAAACATATTTTTCTAACTTACAAAACGGGAGAATTGGGGGGAAAAAAGAATGTAAGAAAAGTTTGGTTTACTTAAAAAAAACTGATGCACTTAAAATTGTTTATATAAAAGCACTGCTGTAAATTTCACATACTGCTCTCCTCAGATCCCCCAAGTGGAAGAAGACCTGCATAAGCTGAGGGGTCATTTGTTTCCTGAAAATCACCACAAACTTCATTAAATTTGGAGGGCGTTATAAGGAAAACAATTTCTCATAAATTACACGTAACCGCATTCATTAGATTCGTACCTTTCCATTCGGCATCCCTTCTTACCTTTCCTTCTTTACCAATAGCCCAGCCGTTCGGCATTGATTATTACCTTTTCTTCTTTATCGATAGCTCAACCATTCGGCATTGATTCTTACCTTTCCTTCTTTATCGATAGCCACGCCACTCGGCATCGGTTCTTACCTTTCCTTCTTTATCGATAGCCCAGCCATTCGGTATAGATTCTTACCTTTAATACCTTCTTTATCGATAGTTCAGCCGTTCGGCATTGATTCTTACCTTTTCTTCTTTATCGATAGCTCAACCATTCGGCATAGATTCTTACCTTTTCTTTTTTTATCGATAGCCTAACTATACGGCATAGATTCTTAGCTTTCCTTCTTTATTGATGGACCAGTCATTTAGCATATATTCCTCCCTTTCCTTATTTATAGACAGGTCATGGTAGCCTAGTGGTAGGGCACTCGCTTCGTAATTGCGAGGCCCGTGAAAGTCACGGGTCTTCCGGTGTGACCTTAAAAACCGAGGTCAAGTGTCACGGTAGACAATAACGAACCTTCACTGATCAATGGCCCTGAGTGCTGAGTATAGGTCTAAATTTGAAGACCTTCACCGGTATACGGTGACGTCTCTATATGAATGAAAAATTCTCGAATAGGACGTTAAACAACAAACAACCAACCAACCTTCTTTATCGATAGTCCAGCCATTCGGCATCGGTTCTTACCTTTCCTTCTTTATCGATAGTCCTGACATTCGGTTTAGATTCTTACCTTTCCTTCTTTATCGATAGCCCAGCCATTCGGCATAGATTCGCCCTTTCTTTCTTGTAATTCTATCTGAATATCGTTTCAAACAAAAATATAAATGTAATTATTTAAAAAAGGGTTTTGTAAATCAAGAATCTAATCCTAAACGTGCAGTGTAATTATTACAACGTAATAAAAATGAAATGACTTTCGCTTTCTTTACCTTTCCTAACGCTACGCTCGTGGTTGCCATATCTAGTACAAAGTTATCGCCATCTTTAGCAGGGGCAGCCACACATATTGGGTTTGTCCCGAGGGTCACCTTCAAATGACAGAAATGATATCTATGGACTTACGCAGCAAATATTAAATCTAAGAAACCCCTACATTTGAAGAGAGAAAAAAATAATTTGGTCAATTATCTACATGCTATTTTAAAATTTCTAATACTAAAAGGATTCAGTCACCTTTTTTGCTCTTGTGGGTACTAACAGTGGTGATGTATTTGTGAAAGCCATTCCCTAAAAAACAAATGTACAGAAAAATAAAATTTTAATGGCTTTATTTTTATGTACTGCTCATTTTTATGTACTGGTCATAGTTAAATGCTTAAATGATGTACGGAAATCCAAATAATTTTACGATTAATCCCTGTTCCATCGCTCTCATGCCATACCATCCAGCTATTCCAAAATGATTTGAACCTACAAAAAAGTAAGGCTTGTGTGCATATAAACATCTTTTAAAAGTCAGGCAAAAAATGCAAGCAAACCCGCAATGTGTAGCTCATCATGATCACTTTTGTTGTCTTTGAAAAAATGGTATTGTAATTGCAATAAGCGTCATCAAAACTTTATTTAGATTAAAATACCTTTGACTGTCACAAAACCTATGCCTGCATCTTTGGCCTTCTTTATAGCTAAGTCTATAGCAAACTTTCCGACCGCTGGACCTACAGTAGTCAAACATTGAGTGACAATGATAAAGTACATATTAATGTAATGATTAGGACAAATTATTGAATTTTGATTATTTCATGACATTTTAACTCCTACCGAGAATGTTGTTTCCCTCTACTAAAGCTGTGGCTACTGTCTCCTTTACAATCTGGGGTTCTATTCCTTTACCATGGGACGTCGTGTTTGTTTCAATAGAGTTTACATACATATCTACATAAAACAAGATGCAGAGTATCACTACGCAGATAAGCGCTAGCCCTTTCACCACATTTCAAACAAGAACAAATAAATTTTGATTTCTTTTCAAAGTCAATTTCACTAAACATAGGAGTTTCTTCATTTCCAAACTAGTTCAAGCCTGACTGGATACATATAACTTGAAATAAACAAGTACGGCAGATTTTTCAAAATCTACGGAATTAATATTTCGGCCATTGCTGTCAAGCGCGCGATTATTTCCAGAGATTTTTTTTAATTGTGACGTATTCATTGATTCTCAACGTGAACTACATGATTACGTTATTTACAGCAATCAACTAAAAATCATGAAATACATAATGAAGAGTCCCTATCCAGAGTGGCGGCCATTTCTGCAATGTTGAATATCCGTAGACTTTGAATTTGCTACCGTGTCAATAAACTATTTGAATTCGAAGGTTTCCGTCAAGGCAGAAAGTTTTGGGAAAAACGATGGAACCTAGTTTGAATGTGTTTTGAGATATATATATATATATATATATATATATATATATATATATATATATATATATATATATATAATTTAATTAAAACGCGGTATTTGATTAGATAAAAAATTTACTTTATATCGTATAAAATGGGTTGCCTACGTCACAATGATTTGCGTCAAAAACGTATCGATCCGCCTGACGTAACATTTAAATTTTGTACAATTTAAAGTCATTTTTTAAGGGCAATCATCTTTTTTTCTTACACTAAATGAATGAAAATTAAATCATTAGGAATGAAATTAATAGCTATCCAATTTATACGGTATAAAGTGGGTTGGAACAGTTTACACTTTTTTATAAACCGCTTCGCGTTACTGTCTTGAAATATAAGCGATATTTGGGCGAGGGTAAGAAAACGTGATTAGAGGGCGAGGCTTGCCGATCCCTCCATCACGTTTTCGACCCGAGTCCAAATATCGCTTATATTTCAAGATAATATCCATGTATTTTGTTTATCCTGCAACATATTTTTACATCAGAACTCCAAAACGAGCTATTTTCAAACCGATTTAGACACATCTCTGCAGCTGAAACTAAGACGCCATGGCGTAAACACTGCAATACACATGACGTCACAATGCTTTTAGAACGTCGGAATGCATGCACGAGGCTTTATTCGGGCATTGAACGAATAAAACTTTGGTTTATAAGGTTACCTTTATTAGGTCAATGCAAGGGGTAGTTGCAGAAAAAAATGCAAAAAGTGCTGTCTTTGATACCGTGGGTTAAACTACAATCACTTTTCATAAACAACGAGAAGGGTTATTGCCTATACTACATAACATTTTACAACTTAAAATTTCTATGATGTTAAAATCATATAAAAGATGAGCTTTCACATCTAGCAAACAGAAAAAAGAGTCTAGTACTGAAAATTGTGTGATGGTCTGATAGTAAACGTTTTTCATTGCTTTCATTAATGCAACACGAATACGTAACATTCATGTGCAATGTTATCTACCAAAAATATATCTGGCAATGATGCAATGACCTCGTTCGCAAATATAATCTATCCTTAAGTCGAATGTTGACTGAGGTTTTTAATACAGATTGTTAGGCCATTACACTGAATTATCTGCTGTTTTTCCTTTTGCCGGATCATGACGAGGAGCACACGTTGGGTATGACCGATCGACAGGGAATGCTTAATCCTCCATGGCACCTGATCCCACCGCTGATGTTTTTAGAGGTCCGTTTTTGTTCCGCTCCCAATTTGTTTTTGTTCCAATGGACTTTCGAGCTTGAATACTGTTCGTTACCTTCATATTTCATTTAAGAGCTTTAAATGACAATACAATATACCTAATCTATTTAGTCCGTGACTATAGTGCCCCCTTGTATCTGCCGCCACAATAAGATCCGCCAACACACTTGCGTGTTCCGAGTTTGCACCAACAGCTTCCATGCAACGGACTACGAAGCTGTGAAGTTCCTTCTCCGGAACTATGGTTTCACTTCTGGTAGCCATATTAGTTTCTAAATATACAAAGAAAAACATCTCAGAGATAATCTCAAGAATTGACTTTAGTATTTTATTGCGCTGAAAGTGTGTGACAATGTATACTTATGTCCCTGACTACTCGCCTTATATTCAAAGTTTATTTATCAGCTGTGTGTGAACTAGTACGCTAAGATCATTTATCCATTTTAGGATAAGCGAGAATTGAATTTAAAAAAATAAATTATTTCATACAAAAAGAAAGTGCATATTATGCATATGAAGGAAATGAGAATAATTCGGGCGCATAAATAAAGCAATATGATACATACACTTAATTGTTGTCTAGCCTTTTGACCCAGTTGTCGACTACGACGGAGCAAACACGCCTCGTTGATAATGTATCTCGGCAACAGTTTGAGGGATGAAATACATTTAGTGTTAAAAAGGTGGTCGAAAATTTATTTTTCATTCATAGTTCTTTTGACATTATTTTCAATCAAAAGTTGAAAATCATGTGCAATCAGTTTAATCATGTACACTGTATTTCATTTTTAGTGGAAACCAATGCACTTTTTGTTAAAGTTACATCAGTGAGTCAATATCATGTGTTTCTTTTAATACAATTGTATCATAAAACTATAGATTCATGAGAAATATGAATAAGGCGAAGTTTTGAGAACTAAACTGCACGGTAAAAGCAAGAAAAGACTGCAAAAATTAAGTGCCGGAAAAAGGAAAGTTGTATCTATGGCGTTGTTGTTATCGTCAATGTCAAGGTCATGTGTCTTTTATTTTTAGCGTGAAACTTGCAAACAACATTGAATTGGAGCAATCAAAATTGAGGAATAAGTTTTGATCATTTTTTCTTTTTGAAGATTATATCAAAATTCTCTTTCATCTGTCATTTATATCTATGGAATTGACACCATGGTAACTTCTTCAACTTTTCTGCGCATGCGTAGCTTAAAGAGGAAAAAGAGAAGCAATATATTTTCATGTTGGGGCAAACTAAAATTATTTTTACTTATATTTTTCTCCATAAAAGTAGATTTTTTAGGTTCTGAAACCTGTATTTTTCTGAAACCTAATACTTTCATTAAAAAAAAATTCTACTTTAATTTGTCAATTTTTCCGTTTTTCCGTCACGGTGTCGCTTTAAACAACAAATGTAGCAATTATTCCCTTAAAAACGTAGATAAGAAGTACATACAGATGTTTTTTTTTTTTTTTTTTTTTTATTTATTTATTTATTTATTTATTTATTTTTTTGGAAACGTTCCCCCGTGATGGCGATTTATTCCCCCTGAGAAAATTTTCTTTCATGTCTGCAATCTGTTTTTTATAGTGTACTTGTTGTTGTGATGGCAGTTGCAAAGCTAGATTCAGGATCTATCAGAATGTCGTTGTTACAATACTGAGATTAACGCGTTTAAGTGTCTTTTACAATTTTTTAACAAACTTACAAACACCAAAGCATGCAGGAGTATGTGAATTCCATCATAAAAACTCCAAAAAGCCGATGGCAACACATTTAAAGTTTAAATGAAAAATGCATATTATATTCTTTTTCAAAAAGAACTGCTGAAATAATTGATTATCAAGTTTTTATTTTATCACCATGCAATTTCTGAGATTTAAACATCAATTCTTCCACAATTATTCCCAAAGTGTGTTGCCCGACGTCCATTTGTCTTGAGGCATGGTAACAAATCTGGGATAACAAAACAAAAAGCCGAAAATATTAAATACTATTCTTTTTTTATTACGAACGATAACAATGATTGTTCAAATATAATTATCCGAATCAGTTGGGTAGGTTTAAGAGACTGGTAAGTTTAAGGTTTGTGGGTGCTGTAATGTGGCCAGGTTCTGATTTCATTGTAAAGAGCATCTCCAGGACAATCGGTGGATCCGACATCACGATGTCCGTAAAGACTATAACCGGAAGTGATGTAACCGTGATCAATCCCGCACTGAATCAGATTTTTAATTGCATTAAGTGCAGCAGTGTTTGGTTTTCGGTGCATAAAACTTCCCATAACGGAGGCGGCGAACCCTCGGCTGTTATAACCCTGTGTGTGTGCTCCTACGTGATGCCACCCACGTCCTTCATACACAGCACCGTCTTCACCCACAAGGAAACTGTAGCCGATGTCTGACCAACCTGTAATGAATAGATTTGCGTAATATAAATCTTGGTAGTAAACTTTTTAAAGTTTGAAATTCCTTTTCTGGAATGTGTGGAAGGTAAGGAAAATAACTACAAAGGTGCAGAACTTTTTTTTCAAAATATCCATCGAATGAGCTAATGTACATTCAAGTGGGTAATTACAAGATCAGTTGTAGTGATATTGCCAAAAAAAAATACTGCTCCCGATGTGTTCGCACGGTGTAAAAACAATAAATCAAACAAATCTTGTTTTACAATGTACCTGTCGAGCAGTTCTCTCATACCTGTTCATTTCAAAGACAAAACAGTCTTTTCTTTATTTTTATAATTTGCACTAAATATCTGCATTGTTTTGCTTAAACTCAGATAGTGTGAATATAGTAATAAAAACAAGTCGTATAATTTTAACTTTTCTCAATACTCCATCTAGTTTATGGCAACATTTTAAAGTTGCATGAAGTAAAAATAAAAATAGATATTTGATATTTATGCATAAAAGTAGATATGATTACGATATCAATCAGTAAGATTAATTTACCTCTTGAGTCCATGTGATAGTTCTGGATACCGCGCATCTGTGTTGCACAGGAAGCGAAGTCATGACAGAAATTTCCTTCAGTGTGGTGCACGAAGAAGAGACTGGCAGGAGTGTGCATTGTAGTCACGTGTTTTGGGGCTCTGGCTCCCCAGCTGGCACGCGAGTAAACTTTGACGTTAGAACACATCCCACTGTTGGTACCTAAACAAAATAAAAAAAATAAAATAAAACTTACTTGTAACCAATTAACTTTGGTAATTAACTTATTATATACGGAACTTCAGAACTAATTAACCATGTAGTACTTGATAAGAGCAGAGACAACAAAGTCAACATCGAGGGATTCTTCAAAAAATATTAATTTTGCTACAAACTAAATAATTATCAACTGCATGCCTGCGGAAGCATGGGAACAGCATCTTCGATGAGTACCACCGGAACACAACCCGGTATGGTAACTTCCGGAACAATGAATGTGATCATCCTGGCAAGCACCCCCGATATTGTGACAAGGTGCGTCACTTCCTGTGGAATTTTAAAAAAATGAATAATTTCAAGCAACAGGACCAAGAAAAAATTAATTCTTGATAAACTTCAAAATTGTTTGTCCTAATTTGATAACATGAAGAAAAGAATGTGTGTACAATATATATTAAATTTATACAACCCAAAGCTGGAAATATCAGTGATATGGTGCAAATTAAAACAATCAGCATTGTTGTCCTGTTGCGTCCACAAACTCGAAAGTAGACAAGAAATGTGTTACATTGAACATACAAGTATACTTATAATCACGATATTTTAGATAAGACTTGTATCAAGATATTTGCAGTATTGTATATATTGATGTACTCACTGCTGCTTTAATCGCTTATCTTGTGACACGACGTAATAAATTGCTACCAAATGTTGAAAAACCAAAAAAATTCGAGATGGATTTTTGATGCTTCAACAATATTTCAGTTTGTCGAGACGTAATATATACAATTTTCTATCAAATTTGTGTTTTCTATCCTCATGAGGTTACCACTGCATACATAATATGAGTGACTCACGTTTTGTTGGGAAATGCATCTGAGCTAAGGTTCTACCCATTAGTATCAAAATCAAACTATTAAACTGATTCATTTTTCAAAACTAACATTTTGATATCCATTTCTTATTCAAGTAAAACAGTTACATTTTACTAAAGAAAAAACAGTGATGGAAAACAAATAACTATAGTTTATGATAAACGTGAGAAACGTTTCCTAACGTCAACTTCCCTTATTTATGTAGCAATACACCATTTTCACTTCCATTTGGGGTTTATGTCTCCCAGTTGATTCGATATGCAAGAGCATGTTCTACGTAAGACCAATTTCTCAAAAGAGGTAGGCCACTGAAAAATAAGATGATGATATGAGGGTATCAAACAATAAATAAACATTTCGCAAATCTTATGGTCGATACAATGATCTTTTGCAAATACATTGTACAGTCTGTTGTTAGGTCGTATATTGACTGACGTCTTTCATACAAAATGTTTGGCCATTATTTTCATACTGATTGTCTTTTTTCGTTTATCCGATCATAACAAGGGGCACACGGCTGATGTCACCGGTTTCATAGGGTATGCTTACTCCTCCATGGCTCCTGATCCCACCTCTGATGTTTTCAGAGGTCCGTGTTTGCTCTGTTCACAATTAGTAATTGCTTAATTGGACTATTGAGCATGATTTCTTTCCGTTGTCTTCACATTTTAGTTTATGCCTAAGATCTACTTAAGGCCTTGGCTTTCTCTTAAACAACAGCATATTGACTCTTATCAAAGTGAAAGTCATATTTTCTAAGCACATAAAATAACAACGCTTAAAGAAAGTTCAGCAGTATCACTAAATATATATGATTTGAATTATGTGCAATATGTTTGAAAAACACAAATGCACCCCCATGTGTGGCCTTGTGTGTTTAAAGAAATTTGATCTTCACTTGTATGCATTCGCTGAGCGAAAACTATCGTTGCACCAAGAATGCGCTTAACGTTTCTCTATTATAGAATGAATATAATAATTATAAGGTTTTCCAATTATTAAGCCCTGATTACAGGATATTTGCAACAGGGTATATTCTTTTCTTTTTTTTTCATTATAAAAATTTACATGAAACGAATAAAAATGGGGGGGGGGGGGGTATTATACTTATATAATGTACAACTTTCCCGCAGAAATTCGAAAATCACATTTCATTCACAGAGATAGAGGAGGGTTTATAGGCGTTTCAAATGCTTTCGTATGTATATCTTCATACATTTACACATATGTTGATTATACATTATGCAGATACAACGTAAATAGTATTCTCATTTTTGCCATGATAGTTGAAAGCAACTGCTTACGAAGTACCCCATACAAATCTTTACATGCATTTATGGTGATTAAAGATAAATGAAACACAATGTATGAATAAAATTTTAATTCAGAAATTTAACTTATGCCTGTCAGCCTATCTCATGGCTTAATGTGACTATAATGTGGCCAAGTTTGAATGATTGGATAAAGAGCATCGCCAGGACAAGCTGTGCTCCCAACATCACGGTGTCCGTACAGTTTATATGTAGGCGAAATGTATCCCTTGCTTACTCCGTATTCAATTAGCTTTTTTGCTGCATTTAGAGACGCGTCATTTGGTGGATGTGTCATGTAGTTGCCCATGAAGGAAGCTGCGTAGCCACGCGTATTATAATGCAATGTGTGCGCACCAACGTGATCCCAACCACGCCCTTCGTAAATATGGCCGTCCTGCCCGACTAAGAAACTGTATCCAATGTCATCCCAACCTGCGGACAGAAATTAAACCAGATGAAAAATATCAGCATTTGCAATACATGGATTGGACATATTGCTTTGTTTTCTATAAAACGTATTGATGATATTAAAAAGTTGTGAATACCTCTGGTGTCCATGTGAAAATTCTGTATTCCTTTTAAGGCAGTAACACAAGAATCGAAGTCATGACAGGAGTGGCCAGCAGTATGGTGGATGAAAAAGAGGCTGGCTGGTTTAGGAAAGTCCTGGAAGTGTTTTGGTTCTCTAGCTCCCCAGCTTTCACGTGAATAAATTTGCACACCATCTCCTATGTCTGCACACACAGGAAAAAAGTTATAGGCTCATGTAATGTGGATTAATGTGTCAATGTCAATGTGTCAGATCAGTGAAATGAAGGAAGAACAAACCTGTAGCTCTTGGAGACATACAACATCTCCGATGAGTTCCCCCTGAACAATGTCCAGTTATGTAGGTTCCCTCACATGACATATGGTCGTCCTGGCACGTGCCTGCCAGCCTCTGACAAGGTTCGTCACTTCCTGTAGAACAATCAGAACAAAGTTCATTTGATTGAAATTGACTAATCGTAAAGAGAAAATTTAGGAGCTTAATAATTATGTAACTCTAAAAAAAAATTTTTGGTCACTAGCATGTGTACGCTAGCTCTGTTTACCACATTTATTACATTTTCAACGGTGAAATACTGTAATTTATTTATTGAATAAAAGTGAAATTTTGTCACTGTGTGAGAGAATATCAGAGTGATATTTTGTTACAGTGTGAAGGTATATCAGAATATCAGAATATCATATTTTCCTTCTCTTCACGAAGAGTGTTGAGAAAAATGTTATGAAAGAGAGAGTAAATAAACCATCCTGACAGAGATTAAAACTGCCAAAGTTATTCCAAATATATTGTTGAAGTCCATGTTTACAATGTTTTCAATCTCACTCGCTTAAGCTATGAACATCTCAACGGCTCAACAATGACGTCAAAGCCTGTGCTACGAAAAGTCAAAGGCAAAGGGAAAATCAAAGAAAATGTAATAAACAGAAAATTCAATATATTGTACTTGGATATTTAATTTATTTTATTCATGAGACAGGATGTTTTGAAATATCAGAAAATCGTGTCCCACTCGTGAAATAAATTCCATATCTAACTACAAAACATTGAATATCCTCTATACATGCAGATATTAAATATAGTTCGTAACAATACTTCAATATCTCATTTCATTCAAATTTGTTACATGTACAAGAATATCTAGTAAAATGCTTGATTGGATTTCAAAACTTACCTCTTAAGAAAGAAAACGAACCTAGGAATATAAGAATATTCAAGATGTAAACGGAGGTCATCGTTGGAAGAATCTATTACAAGTCTAATATATCACACGTGGACTTTCTCAAGACTGACACATGCATATAATTGTAAATTTTATCTCCTCGTGTGCCAATCTTTCAATCACACATTTATATATAAACATACTTGCAGAAGATATTGTTCGCAAAAAAATGTAGCGAAATATAGAAATCCAAGTCACTAGGATCGGGCTGGGGAGGGAGATTGCCTCCGAATAATTAATATTTATAATTATACCATACAGCAACAAAAAATAATACTAATTTACGATTGTGTCCGGCAGTTAATACATGAGGCCCATGGGCCACAACACTCACATGAGTCACTTTTGCCCTTCTGTTTTTCATCAGCAGATTTTTTTTAATTTGTTCATTTTTTAAAAAACGCATGCATTGTGTAAAAACTTGGATTTCGGATTTCGGCCCAACCCTAACCCAGTGTTAAATTTAATCTAATTTATTCCACACAACTTAGGTATGTTTTGCTAATTAATTTGATTTAGTGTGATCTTGCCACTCTTGAAAAAATTTCGTCCTGTACATGAAAACTCCACTGTAAAACTCATCCCCTGATGTATCTTCAACCTGTTCCCAAGGGCCTTGCTCTGAACAAACTTGAATCTGACTACCTGTAGATGCTTGCATATCAATTTAACTAATCATGACTTTTCTGTTCATAAGAGGATGAATTTTAAAGTTTTTTATGTATATATTCTTTTGTAAAATTCGATCGCCTATAGTGGTCCCATCCTACCATCAGGGGCCATGATTTGAACTTACTTGAATCTACAATATACCTATGGATATTTCCATTTAAATATGACTAACCATAGCTTTACTGTTCTTGAAAAGAAAGGGTTTTTAATGATTTTTTCCTATATATTCCTATGTAAAACTATATAAAATTTTGATCTGCTATTGTGGCCCCGCCCTATCCCCGGGGGTCATGATTTTAATAGATTTGAATCTACACTACCTGAGGTTGCTTCCATATTTATAAGACTTATCGTGGCTGTTCTGAGAAGAAAATTTGAAATTTTTTCCCTATAATATTTTCCATTGTTAAACTTTGATTGCCTAATGTTGTCCCACCCTACCCTCTGTTTGATATGAACACTACCTGAGAATGTTTCCATATTTATATGACCAATCACGCTTTGCTGTTCTTGATAGGATTTTTAAAAATTTCCCCTTTATATTGCTAGATATAACTTTGATCCCCTGTGTGGCCACACGCTATACTTGGGGGTTATGATTACTTCCTATGGGTGTATCCGGTGCATGTATTACATTTTGGATATGTATTGTTTTCTTTCTATCAGTTAAAGCTGAGTTTGAAATATCTTGTTCAAAACATATGATTGTGAATTAAATATGTTTCTATTGAAAAAAATATATTGAATTTTTTTTTTCTAAAGATCATAAATTGTCAAGAAATTACTCGAATGACTAAAGTTTATATATGGGTCATTTTCAAAAAATGTCCATTTTTTTTAATGGCATACAGTTTTCAAATTTTTTTTCAAATAATCTTTTGCATATTGTCCAAAAAATTGAAAATTTATTATTGAATGCCAGGATGCTTGACATTTATAAAATACAATGTTGCTAGATAGTATCAACCCTGGAGGGTGTGGTTTCTGTCTCAGAGGGCAACACGATATTTTTTTCAAACGTTCCTCGGCAAATCAGATTCGACTAATTTACATGAAATATATAGTGATAGAATAATATGTGTAGTAACTAAAACATTTCGTGACACTTTGACTAATAAGAATGTAATATTGCTCCGATCATTGTCCGCTGCTGAGTAACTCAAGGTCATGTGAACAAGAAGATTGCAGGAGTGTGTCTAGTACGTGTGTCTTTGTATTGTTTTTTGGAATGCATTGACTGACATTTTTAAGTCATGCCTGATGGTTTGAAAGAATGTATAAATATGGAATTAAACAGACAAATTTTGCAAAATATTATCTTCGAAAATGAAAGTGACAATACAATAAATGAATTTAGCTAAAACCTTCCGAGTATTAACAGATACAAAACAGACGACAGATACTTTACAACCACGTGACAAGCCATTACAAGCAAGATTGGGATAAACAAATATTTACCTGCCTCGATTCTTAGTACAAAGATTTGTTTCAACGATTTATACGTAAATTCTTTAAGAACCTTCTCTGAATACATGAATTTTTTTTTTTTTTTTTTGGGTTAAAAGTAACATGAAGTCTATTCTTATCCATAAGCAATGAATTTATACTTACTGTATGAAAAAACGACTGCCAATAGTAAACGAAAACTAAGGAAGAATCCACTTTATTTACATATGTAGACCTATACATGTATCAGCATTTAAAGTTAACAATTTATATCATCACGACACCTGATATTTTGACAGTGCTGCGTCTATAGAAACACATGTGATCAAATCCGTACCTTTGTACAACGTCAAAATGAAAGTGCATTTACAGGGGCAGATATTACTACATACGACGCTTGATTTTTCGTTATCCAATCAATAATTACCAAAGTCTATGGATTTAATTTTTACTCAAGAAATAAGATGTGTGTGTAGAAAAACACGACTCTGTTACACTCTGAAGAAGATTTTAAAACAGTTGTTTCTATATCTCCCCAAAACGTAAAATTTTGCACCCAGATATAGCCCCAGAACAATAAATTCAAGAAATTTCAATTTATATAGTTACACTAGATAGAAAGGTTTGATTACCGGTATAATTAAAATGTTTCTTTAAGTGAAATATGAAGAAAAAAAGCTCAAAAGTCTCTTGAATCAATACAAATTTGGAGCACATCAAACACCATACAACATCTAAAAACATCAGAAGTAGATCAGGTGCCATGGAGGAGTAAACATCCTGTCGACCAGTCACTCGTCGTGTGCTCCTTGTCATGATCGGACAAAGGGAAACATTAGTGTGAAAAAATGGCCTAACAATTTGTACGAAAAAGGACAGACAACATTGCACTTAAGGAGGTTGAATCCTGCTATCAAAAGTATTAAGAGGTTTTTTTATGAAGTATATTTTTAGAATCTACACACATATAGCTCAATTAAAAATCAAAACAAAAAGTGAGGGATCAGTGCGCTTCTTTTGGCCATACGGAGCATTTGGTATGACCCTTTTGCACTGCAATTACGTCTAACAAATAAATCAATTTGTCGAAGTTTTCCCTCCAATGTTTTTTATCAAAATAAACCATGGGACCAAATCCAGTCTTTTTTTTTTTTTTTTTTTTTTTTTTTTTTTTTTTTTTTGAAGAGACAGATTAAAATTTGTGACAACGAAAAAGTTTCAAATCACCTTTGCATAGTCAATTATTTGACCTATCTGCACTCAAAAATGTCATTATTCTGGCATTAAAAATTAAACAAGCAATAAAATAATTTTAATGTATTAAGATTTTGCTGTTGTTTTTTTATTCAGAATGGTTGAAATTTTCTTATATATTCAGAAAAGGAAATTAAAAGTGGGGGTCTTGATGTAATTTTATATATAAATATATATATATATATATATATATATATATATATATATATATATATATATATATATATATATATATATATATATATATATATATATATATATATATATATATATATTACTAAATTAGTGATAATTTTTAGCTTAAATTGAGACTATATTTTTCTGGACTTTCGCAATATATTTTCTATACTTGTCACAATATAATGATAAAATTAAAAAAGTTAATTTAATAAATAATATGGGACCAGCATAACACATTTCACTGCACAAAATAACTCTGTGTACAACCTGCATGGGAAAATAGGAATCCAAACTAACAGTACCGTAAATACTTTGAAAGAGAAAAATTTATCATTTTCTACTTAAAAAACCTTCCGCCACAAAATGTAGTTCCTCACTTAGTGATTTTGTTATGGAATTTAATCGTGGGATTTTTATTGAATATAGCTTAATTGGCATTGTTGAATCCAAATTTATTGTAAGAACTAAAATATTATGCAGAATTTTTGAAATAGAGGTCAATAAAAAAAATGCTCAAAAGCTCAGGAACGAACCTCTTTAATGACAGACTGTATTTGCACCGACCATAGAATTTGCAAGGTGTTGCCTTTAAACCAGACTGTTGATATTTTTATTTCAATAACATTTGTCAATAGTTTACCTTGT